CGCCAGGCGGGGCCCCCCCACCCGCGCCGGCCGGCCGGCCTCACCTGCAGTGCACCAGGATGGGCCCGGGGCCCTGGGTGGCCCTCGCCTGCTCCCGCACCAGGTCCGCGAAGGTGAGCAGGGAGCCGGGGCCCTCGGGGACACTGTGGTCGGCCCAGGTGGTGAACTGCAGCTGCTTGACTCCCCGCCGCTGGGGCTGGGCCGTCTGAGGAGTGCAGGCAGATGGCCTCCTAACTCCGGGAGCCCTGGCCCAGCCCCCCGACTTCCTGCTCCCGATCCTGGGGGTGAGCATGACGCCTCCCCCGTCAGAGTGGCCGGCCCGTGGTGTCGTGGCTCTGCCTCCCCCTGGGTCTGGAAACTTCCTGGCTCTTCCTCCAGGCTCCTGGGTAGTCTTTGCCTATAGATGGGGCCTAGGCAGAGGGGTGACGCTGGTCCCCAGTTTTCTGTCCCAGGAGGCCTCAGGCTGGGAAGGCTGATGGGGCCCAAGGGGCTTGGAGCAACTCAGGGGGTCGAGCTGAATGCAACGTCACTTCTCACACGGCTTGACCTTAGATGCTGCGTGGCTTTGCATAAACCCTGAACCTTCTCTGTGCCTCCCAACCCCTTCCCTAACCGCCAGCATCCCTGCCCAGTGGCCGAGGCTTGCAGTCCTCCAGGGGGCCCGGGAGGTGAGGCCACCTCCCCCGAGGGCCTCGGCTCTGATGCCCGCCCGCCCGCCCTGTGCCGAGTGCGCACGTGCTGCAGCTGGAACTCCCTCTGTGTCCACTCATCCTCGTGCTCCTCGGCCAGGAGGTGGACAGTGATGTGACCGTAAGTGACGGGGGTGGAGTCGGCCGGCCAGTAGTGCTCACACAGCACCTAGGGCCAGACAGTTACCGTGGAGGGGCCGCCCTGCCAGCCCCGGCCCTCTCGCCCGTCTCTGCCTCCTGCTGGGATTCTGCACTCTGTCCTGGCCCAGCTCCAAGGCCACCACGTCCAGAAACCACTCTCCCCCGGCTGGACTCCAGCACCCTCACCCCAGACTTCCCATACGACCCGAGGGCTGCTGGGCTCCGTCTGGCCTGGCCTCACGGCCCGGCTGGGGGACACTCGGCCATGCTCTCTGGCAGTGAGCAGGCACAGAGGAGGCCCCACAAGGCTTCTTGAAGGGAAAGGGGGCACAATGCGCCATCTTTGGTGCCCACCCTGGGCAGCCCTCCGCATCTGTCTCCCAACCCTTCTCTGCCTAGAGCCAGAGGAGCAGCCACCATGGGAACAGCAGTCGGGCGGCGACCTTGAGGACCCTGTTCTGCCCCAGCCCCGCCTCCCGCCACCCACCTCGGGCCTGGCTGACTTCACTCCTGCCAGACGCCCTCCGGCCTGATTCCCGGGCCGCCCCCTCGAGGAGGACGGGTGCCACCTGGCGGCCTCTCCGGAAAGTGCAGGTGTGCTCACCCGCCCATTCTCCATGCCCACGGTCAGCATGACGATGATGCGGACCTGCTGCTCCCACACCAGCCGCCAGAAGTCCCCCAGGGTTTTCTTGAGAGGCCCCTGGGTGGCGATGAACTCCTGGGGATGGGTGTAGCCCTGTGGGGCGGAGGGCAGGGACAGGTGGATCGGTGACACCCTGGTCCCCTGGTCCCCTAAGCACACAGCAGCAAACAGCCCACGTCTGAGCTCCAGGAGCAAGGACACGGCAAGCACGTGAGCCCCAGGTGGGTGTGCCCCAGGAGCTCGCACCAGGGGGCTGGCTCAGAGACACCGCCTCCGAGCCCGCCCTCTTCACCGGCCCTTCCTAAAACCCAGCTCTGTGCTTCTTCCATGCTCAGCACTCCCCAGTGGCCCCCGCAGCCCCCCGAGTAAAATCCAAGCCCTCAGCCGGCAGCGAAGCCAGCCCTGCATCCAGCCCCTTCTCGTCACCACCGACAGCCCCGCCGCCCACAGCCCTGCTGGTCCGTCACTGTCAAACTCTGCTCGTCCTGCAAGAGATCGCATGTCCCCTCCTCTAGGAAGCCTCCCTTGATTGCTCAAGTAAGCTAAATTCCTCCTTCCGTGTTCCCTCAGCATCATGCTTGCTCCCTGTCACAGCACTGGTCACATGCACACATGCGCGAGCACACACTAGGCCCTCAGTAACACCTGCTGAGGTGACCTAGAGAAACACGAGCTGGTTGTCCAGCTAGAGCAGGACGGCGTATCCCACCCAGCAGACCGCAGGTGGCCTTACGGGGACGAAGCTGGCGTTGACATAGTCGGAGTGGGGGTCTCCCTGCAGCTGGGCCAGCCGGACCCGGGAGTGGTCATCTGCAGGGTGGGGGGGAGGTTGCACTCAGGGCCGGCGCACAGCTGCCCCCAGCCACCTGTCACCCCTGCTCACTGCCGCTGCCCGCCACCCCTGCTGGCCGCTGCCCGCTCACAGGGCAGCACGTGCGGGTAGCGGTTCTTAGAGGCGTTGGCGGGGTGCTCGGCCTCCAGTCTGGGCTGCTCCTTGCCCACCTCCTTCAGCTCCTGCGAGATGGGGCAGGCCTGCTCGTTGACGCAGACCCCTGCCTCCCCGCAGTGGGGAGGGCTCCCCTGGCCTTCGGGGCAGGCCTGGCCTGGCCCAGGTGCCCCAGGGCCCGCCCACTCTGAGCCTGGGGGCGGCGGGCCTCACCTCAAACTCCTGGAAGAAAGCCTGCTGGGCATGGGCGCTCTTGGCCTCAAAGCTCTGCCGGAAGCTGTGACTCGGGATCGGCCGGTGGGTCCGCCTGGGGTCAGAATGGGGGGCGGCCTGGGTTGCAGAGGCATGGGGGGGACGGGGCGCGGACCCCCATCCTGGCAGCACACGCTGATCACCTGCGAGCTGTTGGAAACGCAGGCCTAGGCCCACCCCAAGGACAAGGGGACAGGAGAGGAGGGTGGGGTGGACAGGACCTCCACGTGAGGGCGCGGGGGTCGGCGTGGAGTCAGCGTGAGGGAGAGTGAGAGTGCCA